TTCTCCGCAAATGCAAGATAGAGCTGTGATAGTTCTATTCAAGTATTTGATATTTTCTGTGCTGTCAATTTTCCCCGGTTGTACAGACCGTCTATAGAAATTCTTATTATGTAGTTTATGAGTTAATGGGTAATAAACCTAGATGAATATGATGTTATATTTCCAGATGATTTTGGATGTAAAAGTGGATATTTTTATTTCCGAGTTATTGAAGTTTGAAAATGGAGTTTATTCTCACTCAACCATAGTTGCCTTGTAATAAATCTGTATATTTTTATGATATGGGACGTTCAAAACGAATATTAGAGGTGAAATCGAATGTTCTGAAGCCACGGTAAAGCCTATCTTAAGGAATTGTGCTTTAGGATGTTTGTAATGGTTATATGCAGGAATTTTCTGAGATGACATTCTCGATAAGGTTTACTAAATCACGGATTATTGGACCGCGTTTAAAGAAATTCTAGTGTGTGTTCACTCCGACAGTTTTTTTTTTTACCCAGGATTCATTATTTTTTACCTAACATCCACTCCTTTCAGGAAACTAGATCTGTATGTATAGCATACTCAGTTCTCACGCGCCATATGTGAAATCTCGGATGCCTATGGCGTGTTTGTGTGCAACCTCATCAGGACGGACTAGATAGCATAAATAAGCTTCCATGGACGGGTTTTGGGTAAAGAGGTTGTCTGGCCTGAGCAATTGGGCAATTTTTAATTTGTATCGTATAATAAGCACTTATCGTGAGTAGATTTTAAGTTATTTTGCAGTCGCGATTATTGGTCTATCAATAGTTATTTTATATTATTATAGTAAGAAAGAAATTACAAAGCTCATTTTCTGGCTGGCGCAATATTATAAATTCTCTGATGCGGATCGTGAGCTTACGTAGTAAGATAGGACATTGCACAATCTCACCAAAGGGTACTATCAACAGAATATACTACAGTGCCTTTTGAAGTAAAATAAATAATTAAAATTTAATGTAAACAAAAATTTTAACTCAGACAATTATAAGTAAAGAAGAGATTGAACAAAATCACGGAACGGGGAATAACTGGGCGAAATGAAGTATCCGTGGGTAGTATGGTGGCTTACCAAAGGAAACGTGGTATCTTCCTCAAAAGATGAGTTTAATTTCATATCTTATGATAGAATATTAGGGCAAGAAGGAATCACAATGTATTGGGCCGTTGATGTTAACCAGAAAAGTCATATTTTCGTACTTTTGTTTCAGAAAATGGTTTTTTGAAATGAGAGAAAATTGTATTAGTGATTATATTTATTTATAATCTTTTTATATTGTTTGTGCCATAAAATGCAATGGACTTCTCATAATCCCGAAAAATTGTTTGATGTTTTGTATGAAAAGATAATGATCTATATTATCTATTAATAGTTATGGAACATTTTATCGCTTAAATACTCTCGCTTTTCCGAAAATTATTTTGAATTTATTTTATCTCTTAATTTTATAACATTTAATTAATCAATTAACTATGAGTCTTCCATGAAGGAAGGGATTTAAGAAATATTACATCATCAGAACGACAACTACACCTTCAGACCACTTAATCTTCTCTAGTATATGGTTGGACTTTGCAAAATAAATATTGTCACATGAATTTACTATTCGTGCAAATACCCCACTCATAATTTTATTCATATTATATATCACATACGGGAATTATGCAATAAATTTTTTTTATATTTTAATCTTACATACCGTGCGCCTATAGGAACAAAAGTTATTTCGTCGAGGCCCAACCGAGGAATGTAAAACTGCACGCATTCTAATGAATTTACTTAATATACAAGAAAGTGATATTCTTTGTCGATTATAAACAATTTGTATATACTTTTATTATAACACCTTTTCAGATTATCTCTAAAGTGCATTACCAGTATATTTTATGTGTTTTACCGCATAAACAACAGTTTTGTTCGGTTACCAAGTGAATAAGTAGCAATTTTCTACAATCTTTATATTCATCGTATATAAGACATCGTACTTTATTGGCTCTCATTCCGCCAGTTACAGACCCTCTACTCACTATTGTATACAGACTGGCTGTTGTACCCTCCCTCTCCTTCAGGATTAGGCGAATTTTTTGCCTAATTATGCCCATAATTGGGAAAGTGAAAGTAGAAGTGTTGTATTTTACCGAATTGTTTGTATGTAGAATGGATAAGGAATATTAGGAGATAGGAATCGAACCCATTCTCAGATTGGACTAACTTGGCACTGAACATTAACATCTTTCTTTATAAACACATTTATTTAAGAAAGTTTGAAAGGAACATTACGTTTAAATAAAATTATGTCATTTAGTTTCTAAGGGCAGGAAATAGAAAGTCTATTTCTGTTTATATTTATTTACACAATGGTGTTTAAAGTGTTTATAGCTTTCCATAAAATAATTTATTATAGTTAGTATTAAGAGTAGTTTAAAAAACAACTTAGATGGCTGGTGGAACAGGGATGTCCATGCATCAACATTGTGAATTTTTGACGCGAAATTAATGTTTCGAGGACTTATGAAATTAAGAAACCTTTGTTAAAAATTTTGAAGCGCTTCACTACAAATAAATCAATCAAGAAAATAAATTTGAAGTGTGTATGTGATTTTCCGAATCTCGATTTAACACCCTTGTTTTTCACATTTTTAGTTCGTAATGCTAAGAACTGAAAGTTTATCTGAGTAAAATAGAAGTGTCTGATTGCCTCTGGATGGCGAGGTTCGCGTTATACGAAATTTGAGAATTCGATTGGTAATAAAAAGTGGGATAAATCCTGTTGCTAATAAAAAAATTCTAACATGGTGTACAGAATCTTTTGTGTTTTTATACGAAAAATGATTTGCAAAACTGTTGTTTTCATCGTTTGCCTAATGGTTAGGTAGGCCAAAATCGTTCACGACATTTGACTGAATTCTTCTGACTTCACAAAATCGGAAAATTAGCCAAAAATATCGCTTTCACCCAATTGAGGCGGTAAGATAAACAAACTCTGCGGACATACTCAATTTCGGAGAAATTGTGTGACGTTTTACCCGAGTGTGTTACACTTGACTGAAAGACGTTTTGCCGTCATTCGATTTTGAGCGAAACACCAAAAATGTATTTAACCTGTCCATCACCATATATTGGTAAAAACGTTTTTTTAGTCTACTAATATTTTAGAAAATTGATTATCCTTTTTTGTTAACTGGTATAGTTTAATATAAAGGTTTTTTTAATTTTAATTTATTTTTAATATTATATTAATTTTATAGGTTTAATAAATAATATTAAAGTGTTAATTTGCTAAAATTCGTCCGTTTCCTTTAACCCACATTCTACTCGTGTGGAGAACAGGTGGAAAATAATTAGTACTTAAGAGCAATCACAGTACTTTTTAAAAATAACGCTTCTTACCGTGCACAATACGATATATTGTCTCATTTGCCAATAATGGTTTGTACAAAGACTCATTGGCAATGGCATATTTAAATCGTCTCAAAGTAATTCGCGAAATTAATTATCCGTAGATATCCAACCGCGATTAAATTTTATTTCTGTTGTGAATTGTTTTACAATGTGAGTGTGAGATATTAAAAATATTGTGATGATCCCTTCTATACCCAACTCTACACTTACTTAAATTTTAGTTTAGTTATGTGAAGATTAATATTATGATATATGTCTTGATGTTAATAGTAATTACATAATGTTTTTTATTTTTGTATTTATTGATAAGATGCAGTTTAAGGTTACCAAAACATATATTAACTCTCTTCCTCTATGTCGGGATGACTACGATACGGCCTCCATGAACATGATCTACTTAATTTTATTCTTGTCCTCAGTCAGCACTCCACTTAGATTGCTGAGATGACATATAAATCGGTCTATCTGAACTATACCAGCGGTAATTTTGTGGTAATGAATCAATATCGTTACCTGTTTCAGGAAGATATTTTATTTTACTTGCACTCTTGAGGCAAAGGTGAACACTTGCCTATTTAGGAAATACTTCTCGGATCGGAGTCTATCATGTCTGACGAGTCGATTGAAGTTGAGATTGAGGGATAGCGCCTGTTAGAGAGAGCACATTTTTTCCAATGTATCATCAGACTGGGATAGGGATCAGAGCTTGCAGTTTGACCAGACCGCGAGGTGAGGCTATGACCGCGCTCCGCATGCAACCAAGACATCTAAACTACAGATCAAGTGGCGGATCAGGTTTTCGAATCATGGTCTATATGCACACCGCTTCTCTCATCCATATTTCATCGCCGGCAGTCATAAATTTAGCGGTAGACCCCTCTGTATTTATGGGACTTTTCGGGGTCTGATTGTAAAGTAATGCATGAAGTAAGACTTGCCCTATGACCCGTATCTATTGACTTGTGGACAAAGTCTTACTCACATTCTACAATAACAACCATATGGATCATTGAACACGAATTTAATTATGTTTGCGTACTTTATTCACACACTATTGGTAGATTTAATGACAAGTAAATGAGAATAACATTCCATCACTTTTCGATTGTTAATATTTCTTATAGTATGAAGATGTGTGAATCAATTCGCATTGTGTGTGTTTCTGAAACTCGTGACTAGAGAATATTTGACTCCATTTCGAGAAAACCCTAGCAGGAATAAGAACTTTACTGTCCCTTTGTTCTTTTCTGATTCTAATCTCTTGATACGGTAGATTTGAGTAACTGATTGGGATGTGACTTATTAGGAGTTAATTACAGGACTGCTTTTGCAGGCTTTAATTAGTTAATATGTTTTTGTTAATATATCGTAATATTATAAATATTGACCATATATTTATGTATTATTCTCTTGTGTAAAACATAGAAGAGTACCTCGGATTAACGAGAGCTGGCTTGTTAATAATTAATATTTGTTCTTTCGCTGGATAGAGAAGTAAGTATGAATATTTGTAGGCCTTTGTTGTGCTGTGTTAGCATATATTAATTCAAATTACCGAATATCTGTTTTTGACCGCACCAAGCGTAAATAATACTCAGCGACTAACAGTATGTGACATTAGTGTGGGTGTTTGGAGAGGGAGGTATTGTAGACAGTGTTTTTTGATCTATAGGTAAGTTAATACGTCTCCCGATTAACTATATAATTGGAATCAATAGAACCATTATCGTTTCACGAATGATATCGAATTGAAAGTCTAGCCCCTCTTGTACATGTTAGCGAAGAAGACAACGCAAAGAATGAATTACGGCTGAAGATAAATGCTGGTATTATAACAATATGTTAGCTTCTAAAGTTACTAATTGCTAGAATCGTGCATTTTTGGTTTTCTTTTGTTTTCATGTATTTAATGAAACATTATTATGTAGTAACAGTGTATAAAGTAGGAAAAGATAATTTCCTAGAAGAATTAGAGAAGGAAGCAAAAGTATGCAGATTGAAATCGTCAGTGCATAAATAAGATGTTTACTAGACTGAGGGCTGCTAATAATTGGGTAAGAATGTAAATTACTGATTTTTCTATTGAATGCGCATGTAAGGTTCAGAACAAATTAAAAACCTGCTATTTCTCGAAATCTGGGGAAAAAATAATCAAATTTTTTGAAAATTAGTAGACTTTACTTGTTCTCAAAATTTATTCGTTTTTGTGCTTGTATTTTTGAATAGGATGGAATAGTATCATATGCTCTATTCGTCTAATGTTATTTTTTGTAAGTGGAAAATATACAAAGTACGCGAAAATTAGCATGCTATTTTATAACTATTATAAGCATTATATTATACGAAAAAATATAGGGGAGATTAACCGATCTCAATAAAAAGAATATTACGAGTACGATTTATTTGTCCTTCTTTGTGAAAGTTCCCGGTAATATATGCTGCTCTAATCTAAAACAAGAAAAGTTTTTTATTAAAAATATCTGGTGTGTAGCGTTTGGAATAGTTAGTTGTCTTTTATCGTATTAACATTGTGGTAAAAGAGGGGTTTATACTATTAAAGTAATACATTTATACACAGAGAAGTAATACATTTTTAACTTACTTTATTACACATTAATACAAAGTTTTGCTACGGTTTCGACGAACCATTTGGATAAATCATAGACACAAAACCGTAATTTAAAATTGAGAACTGAACATAAGGCTTTTTTATTCGAATTAGACAAATGACTTGTCTGGGATTGATTCATGAAAAATGACAAAAGAAGGTATATGTATTTTTATTGAAAATTAAATTATCGGAATATTATTTAAATTCAGACGATATAGCAGATACTTTCTCCTAAAAATTCAGACTAAAGGATTATTATGATACTATATAATACATTCAAAGTTCACAAGAAGAGATATGAAAATGCTGTAGTTTTGCTGAGAGGAAAAAAGAAAGGTAAATATGTCATGATGTGTTACAGGATATTATCTTTTTTCTTACGAAAAATTTAAATAAAATAAGTATGTGTTTTATCAACTTTTGCGTTACAGTTTTAGGAATGGCAATAATTATAAACTGTGCAATTGAAATAAGAAACAATAGTAATAAGCGTGGTTTTTTTATTAGAGAAAATCAATTCAGTCCAATTGCTGTGTTATGAGCTTTTAGATTTTATTTTCTATTGGAGAGATTGTAGGATAGCAAAGTATAAAATCTTCGCAATAGTATATGTGAAGCTGGTGTTCTGTTATAGTATTTTGTTTTCGTTATAAATTTCACTGGGCTCAGGGTGAAATTAATTTCGCTTTTGATAAAATTAATATATTTGTATTGACGAAGAGACGATGACAATATATGTAATATAACATTAAGAAATCTAGTTTGGTAGGTGGATTTTTTTGTTATTTTAGTGTATTTTGCTTGATATTTTCTTGAAAAAAAAAAAAATAACGGTTAATGAAAATTGCTTATAATTGTCAATAATGGAACTATTGTTAACCATTATATATGGATTTAGCAAGTAATTATTTGATAAAAAGTTTATACTTTTATAAATAAATTGTATTATGTTTTTGGCTTTGTCGTTTTTGTTATAGCTTCTTATAATTTTATTTTAGCATTATGATCATCGAAGAGCAGCAATTTTATGAATAGAGAGACAATTTTCAAGATTTTACATGATCATTCTTAATCCATAAAAAACGGGTTTGGATACTTATTTCTATCTTCAAATACAGCATTGTGTAACGCATAGCTTAGTACACAGTAAGGACTCATACATGTATTAGAAGGGTGATACGAAAAAGATCATTTTCCTGGACCTTTCGTATCTTTTTTATTAAGTTACTTAACTATCTAGTGGTACATTCTCGATATTTCTATTGTCTATAGTATATAGATAATTCATACTAGATTTTCATCATCACTCATCAATCATCAATATTATTTCATGATCTTTGTATTTCATTCTGTCGCCTTTTGGGAGTAATTTAGAACAATGGTGTTTAGTTATTAGAAATTATTTCATGTTAAAGATGAACAAAACTACTCATTTTAAATGGTCATTTTTTGAATTTGATTTCGACTAGTAAGTCATTTTTTTAAACCATTTTACATAATTTTTAATCCATGGTTTTTGCTGTCATATATAAAGTCGTGTTTTGAAAATACTCATTCAATTATGAGTTTCTCGATATATGTGACAATTTTTAAGATGGATTTAACTTGTGGTTGTTAAACCTAGAAAGTTACTATCTATTTATATATCTCTAAAGAGGTGTCTATCATATATGCACCCCCCATCAATCAATTATACTATATTATTTAAGTAGTTTTTAATCCTTCTTTATATTTAAAATCCAGATATTTTGATTTCGCTATCTTAATTTTGTGAATGTAGCAGATTGTGGAAAATGTATTCAAAAATGTACAATATGGTCGGAAATCAGATAAGGTTTCTAGTATATGGCCAGCGGAGGGAGAAACTTAAGTCAGTGTTAAGGCACAATTATAAATGTGGTGAATTTAAGATAGCAAAAGTATCAGAGATAAGGTCTCTCTTTTTAAATGTATCATTGTATTGTAAAAACTAGAATTGATTGTTTTACAAGCTTGTATTTTACCATTTAAATATCTATGAAATCAATAAAGTAGTAGGTTTAGCCTCGATTATTTAGTGTTTACAGAGGACTAAGTCTACGTGGATTTGAGTATATTTTTGTTCATTATCTCTGTAGATGTGATATATGAACGAAAAATGCAAATACATATTTTAAAGCATTACATATGTTGATTACTTTGATATTATTATAGTCGAGCAGGGGGTTTAGGAATAGTGATTTAGCGTAAAAGTAGTATATT